CCCATGTAGTAAACAAATTGATGCATGCTAAGGCACCGTCACTTATGTTGCCTTCTCGATCAGAAAACTTGTCAATGCAGTAGTCACTCGGTGGTAAAGTTATGTTCCCTGTGGCGAGACGCCCCGTGTCGGGTGACAATAGGAAATCTGTTATGGTTGTGAAAGGGTAACATATAGGTTGGCCTATCACGCGGTTGTATTCGGTATTCATGTGCGGTGCAAACTCTGCCGCTGAACTCGGAACACACAAGTTTAAATAATTATCCATTATTTCTCCCATTGCACAGCATTTTCGTACACATACTTTTTCTTTCATGCTGCTTCATAGGACTTTCGAAGCATACTTTTACTGAATAAGACGCCGATCCATCGAGATTCTGCCTTCCGTCAACGCAGAATTTGGGATCGAATCTGAACTGCAACTTGTCATCTTCAGCATTCCATATATGGACCAAGCCCTTGGTGTGCGATACTAAGTAGGAGACTCTGGGTATTAGTGGGAGATCCTTCATGGGTTCCACGCTACAGTTGAGGGGCTTTTCATAGGTCTTGATATGGGGCCATGATATAGCTGGACCATACGGATCTGCAGAGATCGGGGGTTCCAGTTGCTCTGGCGTACGAGCCGGCCGACACACATTGTCCTTCATGGCTTGGCCTGATGGACAGCATCGTGGTACTTTTGGCGGGTCCACGCACACCTTCACGGTCCAGGTGAGTTCTCTGTGTTCATCCAAAGAGTGAGTAATGCAGTAATCTTTGATGCGGAGACCATCGAATTTCCCAGCTTCTTCCGATAGCACGATGTCACCGCGGTCTCTTAGCCGAAATTGTCCTCTTGAGAAGTTAAGCATCATGACTCCATTTTCTGTGTCACATTCCAGGTCTTTTATTATCACTCGCCTCTCTGCCATGGGTTTCTGAAAAAAGAAACGTCATATAGACTTTACCATAACAAATAATTAGATATATTAAAGCTGTAATGACATTTTTCAACAAATCTTTTTATGGTTGTTCTCAACCACACATACATCCACACGCAACATCGCTAATATAATATACAGTAGATACCATAATAGATAGGTCAGTAAGTTTATTAATTCAGTTGGAATATTGGGAGGCTACTATATAATCGGTGAGCATGCAATTGCTTCATAATGACACTCAAGCATACTTCCAAAGTTTAAGTGTTTGATTAAATTCCTCACCAGGACAATTCTAGGATTGTTCACTTCAGTCCGCATGTGGACCACAGTTCCCCCTGGATATGGACGACACATGCCATCGTCATAAACTTCGTCGGCGTCGCAGAAGCAGTTGACGACTGTTCCTCGCTTGCTGACGCCTTCCACTGCCTCCGACGTCGTGGTATCACTTGTCTCATCATTGGCAGTCGTAACCACATCTGTAGTTATATCAGAATCCCAAGTCGTGCTTATATCTTCGGAGATGAAGGGTGAACGAGTGCCGAAGTTGAGATCTGGTAAATCAGTTGAAACGTTGTCAGTCGTGATCCACGCGGGTTCTTCAGGAGAGATTCTACGAGACGACGGCTCAGGGTCCACGCTAATCACTTTAGCGTCATTAGCTTCTCTCACTCGTGAGACCGAGTCCTCCACACTGGATGCATCATGTTCTGCTGTTGTATTGGGTATATCCTGGGTTGTTAGCCGTATCGGTGTAACATTATGGACTGGTACGTCAGACACTTGCGCTACCAGTAGAGGAGGCGAGGTTTGTCCAACGGTGAAAATCACCAAACCTGTTATCACTGCCTTTAACATGTTTGAGTCACTTTGCAACACTGTGTTTAGTTTATCATACTCTAGAATTTCATATCGGTTCTAATTTTTAGTTTATAATAGTATTTAAGTTCATATCAGTTGTAATGTTCATATCAACCACGCAGGGTTTCATTCGGTGAGCAAATATCTGGAATTGCTCAAGACATATTATGGAATATACTCATGTTTGTTTTTTTTTGTTTTTTTTGTATTTTACTTATGTAAGGCGGACTATCAACACTCCTTATTTTCATCAATGATGGCGCAATCAAAATAATTGCATCTCGTGAATCCAGTGTTTCTTCCAGTGACTCTTTCACAGTCTACCTCCGAACGACCTCTACATGCAACAGAGCAACAGCGGGCGAGAGCGGTTGTTGTTGCATGACGTCTCCGGCAGGACCGCCTCCTCGAAGTTATCAAGTCGTGTATTACACTGGTCACCCGTAGAGTTTGGAAGTTTTTAGTATTAATATAATGCTTTCTTAAAGGTAATGATTTCGACAATAATACGTCCATGAAATAATTTTCTAAGCAAATCTTTTCACCGTGATAGTGCCACTAATCTAGGGAAAATTGCACTGTTCGTTAACCCTTTGGAATAAGGATGCTATAAAAAAAAATCACACCCGTTGGCAAACGCATAGTGATTTTCATGGATTTTCTGCTATGTATGTTTAGCCATATAAACCTTCAGCAGAGATCCTATACAAATGTAACATAAAAGTGAATAAAACAGAAATGCCATTGAATGTAGATTTATCAATAGAGTTATTATGCATCCACAAACATTACATTAGATATAGGTTAGGTTAGAGTCTAAATAAGTGCTTATTCAGAGGTTGGGTTAGATTAGGGTTTCCTTCTATTCATTCTGTAGCACGTAGGCATAAGGACAATAGATTTTGTGTAATCTTGGTCGTATTAGTAAAACAAATGATTTTTATTCCACAGATGTTCACGTATACCAAAGGAGACATACCTATGATCGAGAAATAAGAAAAATGTATTTCATGTATCACACACATGCACGAAGATACCCACTAATACGAAAAAAACGAGTATAACAAGGACAACAAATAACACAGATAGTAGGAAAGGTTCTACACCGGACGAGCGGCGCTTGATGTTCACGTAGGACATAGGAAGCCTTGGGGGAGGGGCAGAGGCAAAGGGAGGTGAGGTAAGTTAATCACCCGTCTTTTCTCATTTACAGAAGTCGTTTTGATTCAATGCTGAGATTTTCATCATTCAAATCAATGCTATTGAATCAACATACAATGTGAACGTAGCTTGTATTCAACTCTCGTTTGGATAAACCGGATAAAAGAATCTGCGTAGTATATCGTCAATTGTTCTACAGAAATTGTGTGCAAAGTCTGATCATACCTATGATATACCAAAGGCATATTATTTTGTGCAAAGTTGGAATTAGACTGGATTCTTCTCTCTCACACACATACACACATACACAAACACACACATACACAAACATACACAAGTGGATAGAGAATTCTATTACTTTTTGTAGGTGCAGAGTAATAGGATAATATGATCTGACAATGAGGATTTTCTGAGTCAAAACCGCTACGCAGTTGCATATATAATCCAAGAGAAAATCCTTGTTGACTTTGCACGCATTTTCTGAATTCGTCATAATAACCTTCATCAATCAATAACTGATTCTGCATTTCCATTTAATCTTCACCGTGCTAAATGTCTCATAAGTTATATATATATTTAATTTCATTCCTACTGCGTGACGTCATAGCCCTTCCGTTTTTGCCTTTCAGCGTCTTATTGTTTTATTCATATCTCATGCTCTCTCTCGCTCTCTCTCTTTATTTCTCCATTTTCATCCTATAATGTCTATTCTTTTCCTTTTTCCACTTTATCTATTTTTTCCATTTAACATATTTACTTTCTATGACTCTCTTGTGATTAATAATTGATTATTCATAGTACCTTATTTTACCAAATTCTTTTCCTTTTAAAGTAAAACGGAAAAAAAAGTACAGACTGACTTACAGCAGAGACGAATGCAAACACCCTATAGCGATGTATCCATCTGAAAAATACACATATACTCTTGCATTTATCTCTATATATGTACAAACGCAAACATATACATACATATATACATATACATTACATACTTACATACAAGCATACATGCATACAAACATGCTTACAAGCATATATGCGCACTTACATACATATCCACATACATACAAGCATAGAAATCTACATACATACATATATACATACAAATTTACACATATAGACATATACATACATTTTTGCACGTACACATACATAAATGTATGCTTGTATTTTTACATACATGATTAATCTATATGCATACATACATACATGCAAACTTACATTTATGCATACACAGACACACACACACACACACACACACACACACACACACACACACACACACACACACACACACACACACATATATATATATACACACACACACACACACACACACATTTCTATGTATATTTCTATATATATTCAAATATATATGTAATCAGGTCAGGTCTCTAGTGCCTGCCACGGGTACCATGTAACCCCGTGCTACCTGCCTCATGTAGAGAAGGAAAACTCTGCCATAAACCTCCGCTGCCTTGCGGACGTCATGGGAAAGGCAAAGGCTAGGGGAGTAAACCCCAACAGAAAATCAGGAGCGGAGTCCCTAAGGCGGCTGGCTCATGCAACGCATGACCTTCCGGCAACTCCTGCAGCCAACCTGGCACCAACTGTATCGGCCCGTCCTTTCCGTTGGATTTTGCCAGCAAGGTTAGAGAGGGGGATCCTGACGACTGGGCATCCCAGGTCCTCCAAATACTCGCCCTGGCCTGCGCCCTGGAGAGGACACTCCAGTGTCGCATCACGCGGCAACACAACACGGGGAGACGGCAGATACCAGTTAAAAGTCCAGAGCCTATTGGCGTCAGCTCGGACGCCTGGGGCTGTCTCCTGTCGGTGGGAAGGACCATCGCGTCTTAATGGCCAGCTACCGCCCGCCTCAAGCTGGGCAGCCCCAGCCAATAAGGTGCTGGCCCGTCACAGTCCGTCTACTTCAGTGGGTGCCTGGAGTTTAGGCCAAAAGCCGAAAAGCGGACTGAAAACTCTGCGTCAGGAAACAAGAAAATTAACAAGCCGCCAGGGCTAAAACTGGCAACCTGGAACGTCAGAACAATGTGTCCTGGCCTGTCTGACGACCTCCAGCAAATCGACAACGCCAGGAAGACCGCCATCATTGACCGCGAACTAAAGAGGCTGAACATTGATATCGCAGCACTGCAAGAGACGCGACTCTCCGAGAGCGGCAGCTTGAAGGAGAGCAACTACACGTTCTTCTGGCGGGGGCAAGAGCACCACGAGCGCCGACTCTATGGCGTCGGTTTTGCTGTCTGGAACACCCTCCTATCCACCATAGAAGCACACTCTTCAGGCACACCACGTGTCCTCTCCCTTCGCCTCACCACCTCTTCTGGACCAACCAACATTCTTAGCGTCTACACCCCAACACTCAGCTCCGCAACCGAGGCTAAGGACCAGTTCTACGAGGAGCTCGAGGCAAAGATCAGGCTGATTCCCAAGAAGGAGCACCTATTCCTACTTGGAGACTTCAATGCCCGTGTGGGAGCCGACCACGATTCCTGGCCTCGGTGCATCGGCCATTTTGGCGTCGGCAAGCTCAACGAGAATGGCCTTCTTGAACTGTGCTCCTTCCATGACCTCTGTCTCACCAACACCTTCTTCCCCACCAAGCCCCACCACAGGATGTCCTGGAGACACCCAAGGTCCTATCACTGGCACCAGTTGGACTTTGTTGCCACCAGAAGATCCTTACTGAATCAAGTGCTGGTCACACGCAGCTACCACAGCGCTGACTGCGACACCGACCACTCCCTCGTCGCAAGCAAGGTGCGCCTCCTTCCCAGACGTGCCCACCACTCCAAGCAGAAGCCCCGACCCCGTATAAACATAGCCAGAACAAACAAGTCTGAACTGCAGGAACTCTTCGCCATAGCCATCGACGAAGCCCTGGAAGGCTGCCCAACCGACAGTGCAACTGAACGGTGGAACCATATACGCGAGGCTGTGTTCCAGACTGCCCTGGACACCTTCGGTAGAAGAGAGAGGAAGAGCACTGACTGGTTTGAGGCAGGAGTCGCTAAACTGGAGCCCGCCATCGCTGCTAAACGAGTCTCCCTACTTGCTCACAAGAAAGACCCTTCCACAAAGACACTCGTAGCACTCTGTGCTGCTCGAAGTGACACACAGAAGATCGCCAGGCGCTGTGCCAATGATTATTGGTTAAATCTCTGTCACAACATCCAACTCTCCGCAGACCTAGGCAACATGCGAGGGATGTACGAGGGCATGAAGAAGGCTCTCGGCCCAAGTCCCGTCAAAACGGCCCCACTCAAAACAGCCGAGGGTGAGATCATCAAAGACCGCTGCAAGCAAATGAAGAGGTGGGCTGAACACTATCAAGAGCTCTACTCAAGGGAAACCACCATCACCAGCACGGCCCTTGAGAACACTCAGTCACTGCCTCCTATGGTCGAGCTCGACACACCACCCACCAATGAAGAGCTCAGCAAGGATGTTGACAATCTAGCCAACAGCAAAGCACCAGGCAGCGACAACATTCCTCCTGAGGTAATCAAGGCCGCAAAAGGGAGCTCTCTCCTACAACACCTTCATGAGCTACTAAAGCAGTGTTGGAAGGAAGGAGCAGTGCCCCAGGACATGCGTGACACCATGATCGTCACGCTCTACAAGAATAAGGGGGAACGGAGCGACTGCAACAACTACCGTGGCATTTTGCTCCTCAGCATTGTCGGCAAAGCATTTGCACGGGTCGCCCTAAACAGACTGCAACTCCTCGCAGAACGCGTTTATCCAGAGGCACAGTGCGCCTTCAGGGCCGCAAGGTCAGCTATCGACATGGTGTTCTCTGTGAGGCAGCTGCAGGAGAAATGCCGGGAGCAGAGACAGCCCCTGTAGCTGGCATTCATCGACTTGACCAAGGCCTTCGACTTGGTCAGCCGAGATGGACTGTTTGCCCTCCTCCAGTGGATTGGATGTCCCCCCAGGCTCTTGAGCTTGGTCGTGTCCTTCCATCAAGATATGAGTGGGACCGTTCAGTTCAACGGATCATGCTCAGAACCCTTCACAATCAAAAGTGGCGTGAAGCAGGGATGCGTCCTTGCCCCAACCCTTTTCGGCATCTTTTTCTCCCTACTCCTGTCCTACGCCTTCCGAGACTCTGATGACGGCGTCTTCATCCACACCAGGAGCAACGGAGGTCTCTTCAACTTAGCACGCCTACGGGCAAAGACAAAAATACAGAGGGTGCTCGTCAGGGAGCTACTTTTTGCCGACGATGCTGGCCTTGTCGCCCACACTGAAGCAGCACTGCAGCGACTCATCGACCGCTTTTCAACCTCCTGTGCAGAATTTGGTCTCACTATCAGCCTGAGGAAGACTCAGGTCATGGGCCAAGACGTCAGTAGTGCCCCCAGCATCTCCATCGGTGATCACACCCTCGAGGTGGTGGACAAGTTCATCTATCTCGGGTCTACCATCTCCAGCAACCTCTCCCTTGATGCAGAGCTGAACACCAGGATCGGCAAGGCAGCTACCACGATGGCCCGTCTGACGAAGCGAGTGTGGGATAACACCA